ATTATTCCAAGGATACTCCTATTATGGGAGGAGATTTTAATTGCATATTGGCAAAAGAGGATAACAAGGGGGGAAAGAGGTTTTTATTTTCTCAATGTGCAAAGGAGAGGATACAGTTTTTTAGCAAGATTGATTTGCATGAATCTAGTTTTTTGGGGCCCTAGATTTAATTGGTGCAACAATAAGGTGATAGGAGCGTGCATTTTGGAGAGGCTCGATAGATGTTATTTGAATTCAGTGGCTATTGGTTCTTCCCAGTTGATGGTGGTGCGTCATCTACCTAGGATTGCATCTAACCATTGCCCTTTCTTTTTAAATCTAGTGAGAAATATTCCTAAAATTCAGAAAAATATTAAATTTGAGGAGTATTAGGCATCTTATCCGGCATCTGCTTCTATTGTGCTTAAAGCATGGAATAAAAGAGCATGTGGTACTTTTTCTGAAATTCTTAATATCATGTTTAAAAGATCTTTGAAACCTTTATTATTTTGGAGTAAAGCAAAACATAAAGATCTCAATGAATTGAAGGAATGTCTCAAAAAGGATATTTATGAATTGCAAATGGAGGAAGCTAATGTAGGAGCTCTTTCGGAAGATAAAACTTTGCTCTTAAGGTAAAAGGTGAATGAACTTAACAGTACCTTGGCTCGTTTGAATACATGGTGGAGGGAAAAAAGAAAGATCAATTGGGTGAAGGATGGAGATAAAAATACAAGATTCTTTCAGGCATATGCTAACGGTAGAAGGAATAGGAATTGGATTTCAAAAATTAAAAACGAAAGTGGGATAGAGGTTGAAGATCAAAAGGATGTTGAGAACATTTTTTTTTATTATTTCATTCATAAATGGCGGTTGAGGGACTATAACTTGGAAGATTGGCCTCCTAGCTTAAATATCCTATAAGAAGAAGAAGATAGAAAGAGGTTGGATGCTGAACTTTCATTGAAGGAAGTTATTGAAGCAGTTAGTGAATTGAAGGGCTTTAAATCTCCAGGAATAGATGGTATATCCTATTCTTTCTTGAAGAGTTATTGGGCTATTATTAAAAATGACACCTGGAATGCCATTCATCAAGTATTTTTTACGGGATTAATGGATTCAGAATGGAAAGAGTCTACATTAGTGCTAATTCCAAAGGTTGAAATTCCTTCAATTCCATCTCATTTCAGACCGATTAGCTTATGCAAATATTTTTATAAATTGATTGCTAAAATTCTTTTAAGTAGAATGCATGGTATGATTCATAAACTCATCTCCAAAGAACAGTTCGCTTTTTTGATGGGACGATCAATCTCTACACATATTATTATGGCTCATGAAGTGTTTCACAAATTTAGATTTTCTAAATCAACAACAGGCTTGGTTTCCTTCAAAATTGATATGGAGCAAGTTTATGATAGCATGGGGTGGTCTACATTGGAGCAAGTATTGAGGTACTTCGGTTTCCCTTGCAAATACTCTAAGTTAATTATGGATTGTGTGGTGGATGCTACGTTTTATGTATTGATTAATGTCAATTATTCTAAATTGGTTATGGCTAAGAGTGGATTCCGACAGGGATGTCCACTATCTCCATTTTTGTTCATTTTATGCTCCCAATTGTTATTTAATGCTTTGATTAATAAGGGAGATTTGGTGGGAATCAAAGTGCACTCAAGTATTCCAAGAATATCTCATTTGCTTTATGCAAATGATATTGTTATTTTCTCTGAATCAAGTATTAAGATGGTAAAAGAGGTAAGGAGAACAATTGTGGATTTTTGTGAGTGGACGGGTCAACACATGAATTACAATAAATCAGTAATTCTCTTTGGTAAAGTTGTGAAGAAGAAGAAAAGGAGAAGCATTACTCAGATTATGGGGCCTAAACCGGTGAAGGAGATGACTTATTTGGGTGTGAAATAGCATTAAGAAGGCTGGTTCAAGCTGATTTCCAAGGCTTATTGGAGAAATCATTGGGGTAAATCAATATTTAGGGCAACAAGTTTATGTCTTTGCAGAGAAGGATCATTCTTATTAAATTTGCTATATTGGCTTTTCCAATCTTTCAATTGACTCATGCTCTTGTTCCTAAGAGTTTTCTTGCTGATATTGATAAGATGTGTAGAGCATTTATTTGGCACAAATAGGACGGTAAAGGTGGCATTCATTATGTCAATTTGGAGGTGTTGTGCAAACCAATTGAATTGGGTGGTAGGGGTCTCCATTCTTGCTTAAAATTTGTTGGGCCGGTAAGAGCTAAGTTTGCATGGAATTATTTGAATAATAGAGATTCTTTACTGAATAAGACATTGTTTATGAAATATGGATTTGATATTTCGAATTCTGGAATGAAAAAATCTTTTTCTTGGAGGATTAATGCAGATGGTACCACCAAAGGTCTTGAAAACATTACAAATGGAGAATTGTAAATGGAAGATAGGTAAATGTGATGAAAGATAATTGGATTCTTGATAAAAGCATCATGATGTGGCGTACATTTTTTTCTATCATGATGGATTCTGATATGTTAGTAGAGAATTTTATTATTAATGGATCATGGAATTAGGATATACTGAGAAGTTATTTCGGTGAAGACCTGGTGCTGCTAATTAGCAAAACAACCATATATTCTAATGAACAAGAAGATCAGGTGGAGTTGCTGAACCAGATGTCCGGTAAAACCATTTCTTATCTTGGTTCTAATGATGTGGTTTGTAATGACTCTTCCATAATGTATTGGGGATGGATTAAAAAGCTTAAATTAAATTCTCAAGTTGAGAATTTATGGTGGAGGATTTTTCATAAGGTAATTCCTATATTCAATTTTCTTCTTCAAAGAAAATTGATAGAAAAAAATTTCTATCCTAGAGGATGCTTGAAGATTGAAGATTATGAGCATGTGGTTGTGGGCTGTTTTAAATTAACTTAGGTGATTCAGATTTTGAAAAAATGGGGATTTTCAATCCCGGTTTTTGGTAGATTTGATGAGTGTTGTACATGGTTGAATCAATGTGCTTCTAAGCAAACTATTTTGGGGAATATGTACTGCACGTTGGTTTTTTTATATTGGAAATCAGGAAGTAAAGGAATCTATGGTGATGGTGAAGACAGTAATTTGTTTATTGCGTCTAATACAATTACTTTGTCTTCTATATCAACTAATTTAGATGTAATTAAATGCTCGTCGGGAATCTGGGTTGTTAATAAGTCTAATAGACTATTGAAGAAATCTTGGCATCCTCGTCCTCCTGACTAGATCAAAGTTAATGTGGATGTGTGCTTGCTATCGTCATACAGGGCTACTATTGGGGGAGTATTCAGAGATCACAGAGGAACGTTTCTATGTGTATTCGGGTTTAGTGAAATTCACTGGGATGTAAATCAACTGGACTTTCTTGCTATTCAGTCCCTGAATTGGTATTTACAAAAGTGGATGCTTGATTATAAAGGTATCATTGTTGAAGGTGATAATGCAAATGTATTTAAGATTCTTCAAAGGTGTTACAACTTACATGTAGCAGCCGAAGATCGTGTGGATGTTCCTTAAGGGTCGAGAGATTTTAATTTTGTTATGTTTAATTTGGTGGAGAGAGCTTGTAATAAGTTAGCCGACTTGTAGGCTAACATTGCTTTTAATTATGATTTTCTTTGGGATGATATTACCATGTGTAGTATTCCTCCTTTTTTAAAAGTATTAAAGGAGGAATGCGAAGTTATTTTTAGGTTGTAATTGGTTTTCTATTTTAATAAAATTGCTTTGGCATTTCATCAAAAAAAAAAAAAAAACCAAATTAGACCGGTGAATACTTTTTTTACTCCCTCTTATCATTGTTTTTAAGCAGTAAATGCTTCAATTCATTCAAAATTTCAATAATTATGTTATTTGGCTATTAAGTATGAAGAATTCAAGGAATACTTAGAATGAATATGAATATAAAAAATGAGATTGTGCTAACAAAATTACCACTAACAAATATATATGTTTGTCATTGCACTAATAAATTCCTAGTTTAGACAAGAAATATTTTCTCTTTTTGTAACTTCTACTTAATATTATGATAATAACTTATCTGAGCTTACTGATTATAACTAAAGGTTTCACGTAACAACATTATTCTTTTTTAAAAAATGTGAAATACAAAAATTTATCATGTCAATCATTTGAAAAATAATGGTAATAGTTTGTGGTGAGTAACTTTTGAGTAACATTAATAGCTAGAAATTGTTATGGGCATTAAGATTCATGTCTAAGAATGTGATCTAAAATTTGTAATGGAGCGGTGCAAGACTCAGAAGAGTTTGGTGGAAGGAATGTAAAGGGACATTTTTAAAGATCATTATAGTGAATGAGTTTTTTAAGTGGTGTAAATGACTAGAATGGTATTGTTAGGCCAGTTTCTACTGAATCGGCCCAGGCGGCCTAAATCATTGAGTCGGTTCTTACTTACAGGAGGTAGACCAAGCCCAATCGGCCTCTTAGGGATTTCCGCCCAAGCTCCTAGTGGACCCCTCTAGGAAATTCAATATGCAAGGAGGGTGCGGCTAGGGTTAGAGAGATAGTTTAAATGAAGTTTTTGAACTTATGTATTAAGTAGGAGGAGATGTTTAGGGTTAGGGTTATGCTTTGTTTTGTGCCTGATTTTGGAGTTTTTGTTTTTGGTGTCTTAGGCCCTAGATTCATCAAGGGATTGGGAGAGAATGATCTTCCTCTCAAATTGAGGATAAATTATATCTTGCTTTACTTCTTCCATTGGTTTGCTTTTCTACAATAACATATACTATTTTTGCTTGTTTTCCATTAGATTTGTGGAGTTTTCCCACTATTTTTGTCAATATTGTTAGGGTTTACTTGAAATATTCAATTTTTTCCTATCCAATTGGTACCAGAGCAGATTTTGGGACCTTATTGGGATGATTTTCTAAAATTTTAGCAGCTGTTATTTTTTTGTAGGAAGGGTTTCTTACTAAATTTTGTATCAACAACCAGATTTATGAACCTACAAAAATTTCAAGTATTGATGGCGACCAAGAAGGTAGAAGGGCTTGAGGAACGCTTTAAAGGGGATATGTGCCAAATGAAATCAATGGTGGAAGGTCAAATTTCATCTGTAGAAGACAAGGTCTCATCCGTGGAAGACAAAGTTTTTGATCTTCATGTGATGATGAAGAAGCTATTAGAAAATATAATTCAAATGGCGGCATCAGAGACAAAAGGGCCAGTGGGAAGAACTACAAATTCTAAATTTCGTAGGAAGGAAAATCATGTGGAGATCATGGAGGAAAAAAGGGGAAGGTATGGAGAGAGGCGTGGACATGGGGGGGGAAATCAGCATACATGATATTCGAACATGATATTCGAATACGACGACGACGACGATGACGTAATTGGCTGCGGCGGCGCCGCCAACGCCGCAGGGGCAAAGGGAACATAGCAAGTACGCGCTCTGGAACAGAGCTTCGATGTGGAAAACCGGCTCGAGCCATAGCGGAAGGCTCGTTTAGCTCAAGATCTGGGCCTCCAGCCTTGCCAAGTCGCCGTCTGGTTCCAGAACAGGCGCGCGAGGTGGAAGACGAAGCCGCTCGAACGCGTCTTCTCCGCTCTCAAGTCGCGCTACGACGCCCTGAGGCTCGACTTCGACTTCGACTTCGACTCACTTCGCTCTCAAGTCGCTGCGTTGAAGTTGGGCGAATTGGTACCTCCTAACTGGAGGGAGATTGCTCATGGAATGCTTGCTGAGAGAGCATTGGAACATATCTTACCTTCTGAAGAGGATTTTCCTTACATTGTTCGTGTTGAAAGTACCATTACTGAAAGTAATGGACCCTAAAGGTAACATCTTGGAAATTTGCCCAAGATGTTTGTTTTGGTTCCTTTTTCACGATTTAATTGCTTTCTATTACAATTGCGAGGACGTCGGAAGCTGCCCAGAGGGCGGCGGCTGCGGACGGTGTCATCCTAGCGGAGAAACCGTGGAATATGGAGCATGTGTGGATGACGGGGCCACCGGAGGTCCAACTAGTGTCTCCGTCAAAGAGTCGGCTTCCGCGGCAGCCACAACGGTTTCGTACCAGTGGCCGTGGGTAGGAAAGACAGATGGTTTGGCCTCGCCATCGATGCAGACGATGTATGTCTTTCGGCTGGTTTTCTCCGAGGTGGAGATGGTCGGAGAAGAAAGAAAAAGAGTACGGCCAGAAACAGAAACGTAAAATGGTGATTTTTCTTCATTTTTTTTTTGTTTTGTTTTTGGTGAGCGATGTTGGAATGGTGGACTGTGTGTCCGAATGTGATTTCAAATTTAAATGTTACAGACCTTGCTTTGTAGGGAAAACAGTGGCCTTCCTTTATTTAATTTATTGCACTTAACTTGCATCTTTTTAGTTTTTATTTAATTTCCGTGTTGAAATTTTAGGGCCAAAGTCATAAGCTAAATAGATTCGTGGCAGCTAGCTGCACGTATTTAGATTTCTCTCCGGCGAGCAGCTCCAGATCCGGAGAGACTTCGCTCCGGCAAGTTAACAAAAGTTGCAACATATCGTAGTCAAAATTGACTTTGAAAAATTGTGCAGCCATACGGTGACTTTAACAAGCTACATATGATAGAAGAAGATTTTAGTATTATAAGTCAGTAGATCTGCAGATGTAATGGTGTTCACTGAAGGTAGTTCTCTTCCCTGTAAAAAATAATTAAAAAAAAGTTAATTTTAATTTACTCTGGATATACCTAACCAAACAAGAGAAACAAATCTCCTGCGTTTCTTTTGCAAACAGCCAAACAAAGCAAAGCATTCGAAATGCATCACATTTACTTTACATTGTATTTACTTTACACTGCATTTCTTTTGCAGGCAACCAAACAGCCCCTTAGGGTGAACCAAGTTCTTGGGAAAGGGGAAATTATGAAGGAATATGATAAAATGGGGGAGATCCAAAGGTGAGAAAGTTGAAGATGCTCATTTTTGAATGGGAGGATGCACACAAGTGGATCTACAAGTTGGAGTGGTTTTACATTGTCAATGGGATAATAAAGGAGGTTAAGTTGACAGCAGTAGAGTATGTTTGGAGGGGAAGGCGATGTCCTTGTATTAGTGGAGGGATGAAAGGAGACCCAAAGGAGTTAGAGGGAATTTAAGGAATGCTTATTAGAACATTTCTAAACAGGCAGGGGCGGGGACATCTACGAGCAGTTCTTTGCACTAGTACATGACGAATCAGTGGTAGACTATCATGAGATATTCAAGCACTTGGCTAGTTGGGTGGAGCAACTATTAGAGACGGCGTTAAAGGGTAACTTCAAGAAGGGACTCAAATTTGAGATCAGAGCTGCGGTAAGGGTCATGAGGCCTCATGACTTGAGAGAGGCAATTGAGTTGGCACAGTTGGTGGAAGATCAGAAGTATCTAAAGAGGGGAGCCATGAACAACAATTTAGGAGGCTCTTACAAGATGACTACTCGTCTAACAGCCAAGGGTCCCATAGCAGGTGGGTTTAATTAATTAAATATAAACTCTTAAATAACTTCTAAAATTTAAATATTATTTAAAATGATTTCACTAAATTGTTATTTTTAATTATTTAAATTTAAGTATAATTTCAACATTAATTAAATTTTTTAAATATTTAAATATTTTTAAATAATTTAAAATATGTAATATGTAATAAATTAAATTTTTTAATTTGGAAATATTTTAATTATTTTAATTAAATATTGATTTTAAATATTAAATATCTTATATTTTAAAAAATTATATGTATATATATGTGAAAAAAAATTGAGTTTTTTTATTTTACTTGTTTTGAAATTTTTTGGATTTTTAATTTATTAAAAGGGTTTAGCTGCGACGGCGGTGTCCCACGACATGTGGTGTGCTCGGATTAGTCCATTTAAAACTACTACAATCATTAGCAATGATTGCACGGCGGCGCAATCATTGCTAATGATTGGATGATTACACGACAACTGATTTGTCTTAGTCAATAATGTATTGTGCCATCCGTTCCTCTACATTTATACTGAAGGACAAGATCACACCGGATGGATTACGGAACCGCACGATCAACCATGATGTTGGATAGGACTGTAGGAAGACAAGATCTACGCCGTTGATCAAAGGGTTAATGGCTCAGATTTTGTGCAGTTCAGGCATGTGTATATCGAACCATAGAAGAGTTTTTGGGCTCATTCAATCAATCAGATGGATAGTTTTTCATGAAATTTTAAACCTAGACTCCATGTATGAACAATAATCATGGGTACATGATAGAACTTTTTAAAATGCAATTAATTAAAAGCTATTTTAACTAAGGTGTCCTAGCCTAGGTTAGGGCTTTTACCTCGATTTAATGGACGGACTTATTTATTTAAGGTATCTCTAAATTTGTGGTATATCCATGCTAATTTTCTCTTCAAGAACTAAGGTCTAGAAAGCTCCTTATCGCATGGTGTAGTGCTTGGACAAATTCAACTTGAGTTCATCGAAAATATCCTTTCCATTGAGGTTTTAATGATGGGTTTGAGTGGGGAGATGTGGGGGAGTATCTTGAGAGCTCAAACAAATGAGGGCTTTGCTTGGGGAGGCCTTGGGCAAGAAGATTCAAGATAAAAAAGAAAGTCCCTTCTAATGAGGCATTAGGCCTCTATTTATAGTCTAAACCCTAAGATAGATGGCTAGGATGTCTCTTAGGGCTAATTAAGAGAGATTTATGCTCTCTTGGACATATTGTAGGTAAAGGGGAGGCTTAGGGGTGTTTAAATGCCATGTGGGACCTAAATAAGTCAATTTGACCAAATTAAGATCTAATTAACCAAATTAATTATGATTAGGTCAACATGGTAAATCAAGTCCAAATTAATTAGGAATTGAACTCAAGGGGTTTTGAAATTTATCTAAGCTGAAATGGAAGTGACTTGGATTGGCCTAGTCAACTTCAATTTTCTTGGTCAATCATGTTAACCCAGGACATGAGTTTAGACTCAACACATTTGGTTTGACTCATTAAACCCATTAGAAAGCATTTTAGGATATGGCTTGGTCAATTTGAATAAGTCAACCCTCTTGACCTTAGTCTAGTGAAAGGCAAGGTCAAGAAAGTACTCTATTCAACTTGAAATTATTAATATCAACAGTTATATAAAAAGGCAATTGTGATATGAAGTGCCCAGGAGTAAATCCTCATCAGAAAAGGTTACTCCATGTACCTCTTTTAAGTGTAAAGCCTCCCCAAAGGAAAACTCTATGAGTTGTGCTAAATAAAATTTAGGATAAAAAAGATCCTTGATCAAAGCCTCTCGCATTTCAGGAGAAAGTACAAGTGCATCAAATATATTCAGCATCACAGGGAGTTTTCTAAGGTGAGCTAATACATTATAATCCACTTTTGGTGGTCCACCACCCACTTTCTCTTGTGGAGGAAGTGTTGGTGAAACGATACCCTTATTTTGATTGATAGGTTCTTTTCCCTTATCTTTCTTAAATGTCATTGGAGATGGTACAACACGACCACTTCTGAGATTTATTTATATTATTTCTTCAGGCTCAGAAGTTGAGGTCACATCAACCAAAACTTAGAATCTGATTCTTCTTAGACTTAGTTGGTCTCTAAGTTTGGTAACTCGGGCTCAATGACAATTGTAATCCCTGCATTTTATGCACAGGTAGATCATCATCAGAACTTGATTCAGGCAATTGAGAATATTCAATTGTAGGTCATTCATTTTTAGATCCAGAATAGACAGATAACATGTATGCGTAAGGATCGTTCACTTCATTAACACCCATTGGAACATACATGAAATCAGAGAGAGTGATAGGCTTCAGGATTTCCCCTTGCCATTTAGGGAGATACCTTGTTTGACTTTGAAAGTTTATTCTTTTTTTTTTCCTTTCCCTTCACAGTTAAAACTCTCTTTTTAAGAAATTTTGAGGGTGTTTCAAGGGTGAAGGGCCCTTTCCCTTCATTGAGTTATTTGGAGGAACTCCAAAATGGACTTTTTTATGGGTATTTGAGTTTCTTTTGGTAACTCCAATGGTGTTTTGGGTAATTTGTTCAACATTTTTAGGGATGATTTAGACAAGGAATATTATCAACCCTCTGCATCTATAAGAAAATCAACACTGCCCTTCTTATTGAACATTGTTGGAGAGGAAACTACTGTGGCTGACTCTACTTTCTGCCCCTTTATAGGAACGACTTCCACATGAATAACCTTAGTAGACCCTTGTGATGGGTTTGCTAAGTATGCATCAGGAATACTCATCCTATCATATTTGTACTCATTTTCAACCCAATCTTTAAAGACATAACAATCTTCTAAAATATGACCCAATATCCTATGATAAGGGCAATAGTTTAGCTCATTACTCTTATCAACCTTTTTTGGTCTTTTGGGTTTGAGAGTTAAAAATTGTCATCTTGAACCAAGGACTTAAAGATTTTCTTTATAGCATCTCTCCTAAAATAGTACCATGAATAACCTTAGCAGACCATGAATATCCCTTAGTAAAATTTCAATAGTATTTTGTTCTTGGAGTTGTGGTTCACATTTTAGGCTAAGGTTTCTCCACCTAAGAATGTTATCTAACAACCCCTCATTTGATTTCTATTTCTCCGCTACAAGATCTCCCACTGTAATGTGATGTTGAGCTCCTGTAAACCTTTTCATAAACAAACACTCCAGCTATGCAAAAGTCTTCACCGAGCTATTTGGTAACTCGATATACCAATCAAAAGTTTCACTAGAATGGCTGCTCACAAGCTGTCTGAAGAGAAGAGCATTACTGCTACCCATCCTAGCTTTGAAATAAGCTAAATGTTGATGTGGATTTCCCATACCATTTAGAGCATTAGAAGGAAGGGTAAATAAAACCTTTGGGATACTATACTGAGTCAAACTCCTCTATATTACATCTTCCTCTTTGAATAGAGTGACCTCTTTTTCCATGTGCAATTTACTCCTTAATCTGCTGACTAATAAAATCCTTAAAATATTCCTTTGAAGGATAGAGATTTTTTGACCCAAGCTCATTCTTTCCCTAACTCATAATGTCATCATCAACCTGCACTACTTCATTGGCCTTTTATATACAAATGGAATGATTATATATTGTGTTTGACGCCTTTTAGGGAACCAAAAGCTGAGTGGTAAGGGCACTCATAACAGAAGCCATCTCATCAATTCTCTTAGTCATATCATTGAGTTGAGCATCTTTGTTTTTAAATTACTGAAATAAAGCACTGGTCTAAGGATTTTCACTCCCTTCTTTTTCCACCTCCAACAAATCAATTATTTGAGGGTCTCCTGAAGGAGAGGATCATCTTCAGATATATTGGAGAACATAGATATCCTCATCTTCCATAAGATCATCCTCATCATGAATAAAATTCTC